GTACCTCAGAATTGGGTAAACGGCGTTCGGTATGCCTAATTGTGTACGTCCACGGCGCAGCACATTTAATTTCCCGCGAGATTTTCAAGGTACTGTATGCACCCTACCTTCCCGAACTTCTAATCTTGTCTCTTTTGCCCAGTTATGAAATCAAGTGCTGTAGTGACAAGTGGCGTAGCTCACAATCAGACAGTGGTCGAATCCTCTGGTTTCGGTTTCGTTCCAGGCGTAATCAAGCATTCTATTTTCCACCGGCGGTTTACAATTGATGCGAGGGATTGTCTCGGAGGATGAACTCGCTAACAATTCTTTTTTCCTCGGCGATTTACGAGGAACCAAACGCCTTCAATAGTCTGCCTACGCAATGGTTGAAATGAAATTGCGTCCCAAACAAAAATGTGCTGTCATTGAGCCAAAAGGCTTATTTTTTCTTATCAAATATCGCCTTTCCTGATTATTTCTGATCTAAGGAAAGAAGTTCCAGAAGCAGTAAAGCCTGCCGCGAATATTGTCTAAATTGTAAGGCAAGACATACATGCAACACCTTACCGAAGCTAAGCGTCCAACGGAGTCTAAAGTCAAAAGTCATATGTTCGCTTCCCTCATAATTCACAAAAAAGAAAAGGCCGGTCTAAGAAAGAAGATACTTTTGAGAACCGGCTGCAGACGGTACCCTCGGATTCTTCATTATAATAGTTCAACGAAAGTTGCTGACATTAGTACGGCAGGCATATGTGGAAGCAGTCATGCTCCACGTCTCTTTCTTTCGATGAAATGGAATAAAAAACTTTTGAATGTTTAGTTAGAAAAACCAGATCAAACCTGTTCGGCTATCTGATAGTCGCAAGGCTCAACATACAACTCATTGACAGATGTAATCGGCCTTAATGCGCGCATAAAGAGATGATTGGTGAATGGCACTTCTCGCAATAACTCTGAAAAGACAGGGTCCCTACTTATGCCCGCGTTCGTAGGAGTATTTCTCGTTGTACAGGTAGTTCCTTCAGTCTCTGAGATATCCCACGTTTGCGCTCGCATACGGAAACAGCGAAGTCATCTGCCGCCTTCGTAAGTGGCACTTCTGAGCTTTAGTTGCTTCGCCCACATCAGAACTCATGGGCTATTTTCTGCTGCATCTTCAGTCTTGACACCGTGTTCTTCGTCTTTTCTTCACTGGTGTTAGCACTGGATGACCCGAGGAAAGCATTGATGAGTCAAAGGCGACAGGACATCGCTTTTCAGGCATAAAACGAGCAAGTCCGGTAAACTCGTAAATAGGGGCAGCCAGGTCCCCACTTAGAGTGTCTCCATGATTTTTTTTTCGCATTTTTCTTCCCTTGAAAGCCATTTGGCAACTATAGGTTTGTTACTGAACACCACTATCGACAATATGTAATCGCGAGGTTCCTGTTTGAGAATCGAAGCTCTATGGGAGGGCAAGGTAGTGTGGGCCGCAACGGAGCTCTAAAAGTTGTAAGGTAGGGACACCTAGTTGCGAAGCTGCTCGAGAGGCCCCACCCCTGTGCGAGTAACCCCGCCTCGCGTAGGAGTCTGACGTTTCGCTTGCTTGTCTAGCTTATCTGCATCTCAACAAAGCCTTACTTCTCATTCGGAATCAACGGCGTAATGGAAGGCCATCGGCGTGTTCGGCAGTTTTTACTCTTCTTTCTTCACGTATTAGCTAACCATAGGAACACTTCTTTTCTCAATCTCGCTGCGTACGACGCTCTCAGTGGCTTTGCATGCCTTTGAAGGAAATGAAACAACTTGCATAGCCAGGAAAAAGCTGAGGCAACGTGAGCGCGGCTGAAGACGGATTCATTGCCCTTACTACAAAAGCTAGCTCTACCTGAATAATCCGATTCACATGCCATTCACTTCCCACCTCGAAATCAACTCGAAATCAATGCTCATAGTCAGAATCCAAATTCACCCCTATCATCCAGAACATCGATTTTTACAAAATCTGTGAAGGACGTATTTCCAGGGAGTGATCGTTTGCCTTTTCCATGTGTGTTCAAGTATCAACTGCCATATTTTTGAATGAGCAGAATGTCAACTATGCAGAACGATTACGATCTGCGACCACCAAGGCATAGTAAGGGGACAATTCTCCTGAAAAAATCATCATTCAACAGGCCAGGGCGTTCTTTTTCGGTAATCATTCAATTAATAGCATCAGCAAGGCAGCGTTTATATTTTTTTCATTTGGAAATCCACTAGGAGAGATTGCGGAAGAATTGCGGAAGGTTTTGAGCCATCTAGGAGAAGTTGCTTTCTAGTTCATATGTTTCAATAGATTTTTCACCTTTGTGGTGACTCCGAGTGACTTGAGGGTACTCAATGAGCAGCGGTGCTTTTTAAGAATTAGAGATACTAGTGTGGGTAGCTTGGGCGATTCTGAACAGAATTCTTCCAAACTCTAGTGTTCACGACTCTGCTTGAATGCTGTGAAATATTGTCGGACCACCGTCTCTTTTCAGGACCCTCCTGGTTCTTTCAGCTGCACCCACATTTTCTTATCGATTTGAACATTATCTTTTCTTCTCAGCATCCCTACTCATAAGCCTCCATAACATAACAGTTCTGTGTATTATAAAGTAATGGGTCCGCCTTTGGAGAAAAGCTCCACCTTTTAATATATACAGCAACAGGTAGGATTCCTAGTTGCCGCATGGAGGTACGTAGGACTTACGGGGCTTCTTTAGGTCCGGTGGTTTTGGAAATCAGATAGTAACGAGCGTTACTCGTTGTAGCTTTGCCAGCCCCACCATTTCCTCTACTGTGTCGCAGCTGGTTCTCCTGACTCACATGAATGCAACTCACTTCCTAATTTAGATATTGCGTCATGTGAGAAATAACATCTGTGCGAACAACTCGGAGGAGTTTGCCTGGCGCTCTAGATAAGGAACAGAAGCAAGGTTTTTTTCCACATTGCCGCACTCCAATGAACCTGTGATGGTGTTCGTTCCCTGTTTGCCTTCTGAATAACTACATGAATCACTGAGACAGTGACTGTGCACGTCCATTTGCATGCAGCACCATACATTAGCTCCCCGAATAGCAGCTGCTTTGGACGCGCTTGCGTTGCTACCGTACTTACTGACCGTAACTGTAATCGGGATTGCATTGCAGTAGCTACCGTATTTATGTTGCAGTCAGTAAAACCAGGAAAAAATTCTGCTAAATCTCGCCTTGTCGTGTGCTGTTGAGTCCAGCAGAGCAGTAGGTGGGGTACTAAGAATGTGGGTTCTTTACTGAGCACCAGGACAATGTCACTACTCCAAAACAGAAGATTGATACGTGAAAGGTAATGACTTGAAAAACTGCGAACGTGATGAATTGCTTCTTAGGATGCGGTGCACAATCTAGTTGCTTTGACAATCGTAATGGCTAGTGAATGTGATATGGCCCTCAACGAGACTTGCGGTGCCAACCAAAGGATTAGCCAGCGTTTTATCCTGCCAGACGAGTCACCAGTACACCAGTTTGCTCCTTCTGGAGGAATAAAAAGTTTGGCGCTGGCGAGGGTAGGGGCAGATCCGAGATTCGATCTCCAAACCACGACCGTGTGAGAATAGTGCAAGCAGGGGACCCCACCAACAGGCAAAATCCATAGGGAGGGTCGTATCTGGCTTTGGGAAGAATTTTTTCAGCCTTCAGAAGACTCTTCCTGGCTATTGTTGATTTTTGTCTAATCACGCGCAATACATACATATACATACATGACCCCTTCTTTGAGTGGAAGAGCAGCAGGACTACAATTTCTGATAGTTGATTAAAGACAGCTCCCGCGATAAAAGTCTCATGGATAGCTGCTTTCCAATTATGAAACAGCAGCTGATAAGTAATCTCCCAG